AATTAGCAGCAAGAACTTACAGGCACCTCTTATCTGTTAGGTCTTTCCATTAAGCAATTAGTTGTATAAAATCTCACCTGAAATTTTCCTCAGTTTCTGTGCCAACAAAGGACAACCCTATTCCCCAGCTCTCCAATTAAAAGTTAAGAGACAATAGTGATGGGACAAAAAAATAAAGTAGTAAAAAGAAGATATTCCCACAGGCACAAAACATATTTTAAAATAATTTGACTGTTGGCCAGATTTTATGATGCTGTCCTTCAGAGTAACAATATCTGGAATTAAGTGCAAAAAGCAATGGAACTATATTAGCCTCTCCCGGCAAGGGTTACTTAAACTCCACTGAATTCCTTCCAACCAACTCCTTACTTAGCATCCACGTCCCACATTCCAAGCTAGGATCATACCTCGGCACTCCGTGCGGGTGAGCGTGCTCTGATAGCCCGGGCGGCACTGACAGGTGTAGGAGCCCTGGTTATTAATACACTCTCCACCAGCACAAGGGTTCTTCTCACATTCGTCAACATCTGCAAAATACAGTATATTTTAGCAAGAACTAAACAGCAATAACACACAACTCAAGACCATTTTATCGGTTTCCTTTACATGTTAATACACTTTCCTTTAAGACACAAATATCATAACGAAAGATCCTTTATCTTTCCACTACAATAACGGTGTCACCAGCCACCTGAAGGCTGGTTGAGCAGTTCAAGTGTATTATTTCCTTGTGTCATTTTCCAGAGAAAAATGCTGAGTAACGTAGCAACTCAGCACTCCAAGCTGATAGACGTTTTCTCTTCCTTGAGTCTGGTCTAAGGGGATCAAATGGACTAACGCTTCAGAAGTGGCTTCTGTGGGGGAGGGTATAGCTCAGGTGGTGGAATGCGTGCTCCCCACCCAAGAGGTCCCGGGTTCCATCCCCAGGACCTCTTCCAAGCGGAAATCAATGAATAAAACTAATTACCTCCCCCTCGTAAAAAAAAAAACAATACAAGCAGAAGTGGCTTCTGGATAGGATTCTGAGTATATCTTGATGCTCTATTTTTCAATAAAAAGGTCTGACCATATCTAAGCATCGTCTGCTGAGTTCCGCTAAGGATGTTACAACAAACCAGAAGTGGCTGTCATTTAAAGGGCAATCCTCACCCACCATGGAGGCTATCACCACCTCCACCTGTTTCTCAGACAGGCTCCCACTAGCTCTACAGTCACTTAGAGCTATCAGCATACTTACAGGTTAAGTTGGTTTTTATTCCTCTTTTTGTAAAGATGAGTCAGCAAAAGCTTATGGAAGACAACCCACCTGTCCGAAGTCACATGCTTTCTGTGGCAGGTGCGGGCCTGAGCTCACAACCCTGAGCTAGGTGTTCCCTTTCCTACCCAGCTCTGGATGACCTCTAAGGACTGAAGGACTCTCTCCTAACATGCTGCTCGAGGGGGATTTCGCATCACTAGCAAAGGATAAAGCATGAGAAACCAAGAACGACTTATTTCTGCCTGATTCATAATTGAAAGAGAGATCTGTAACAGAACTAAGACAGCAATTGATTTTTAAAAAAAATTAGAGGGCAACTGGGTGTTTTTACCCAATCCAGCAGATTATTCTTCTGTCACACTTCCTCCCTTCACTGGCTTAACTGCCTTGTCAAGAACTTAAAAGTTCCTCGCTTCAGTTTTTAATGGGTGGAGAGAGGCGGTAAGTCATCCATTTAAATAGTAAAATGTGCAAACTTTCAAAATTTGGGGATATTTTAATGCTTTATTTTAACAACCAGGCTTTGATCAATGATTTAAGTCAGAGTTACCAGCAATGCCTTGAATGCATTTTACAATGAAAGTTAAAGTCACTACAGTAGGAAGGATAATGGTCCCCCAAATATGTTCACATCCTATCCGCAGGACCTGTGACTCCGCTACATGGCAAGGGGGCTTAAGTGAAGTTCCTGATCTGCGGAATTCCATTGCTCCTGGAATATATAGTTGGGCCCAATGTAATCACAAAGATCCTTAAATGCGGAAGAGGGAATTGGCAGAGAAAACCAGAGAGAGGGAGATTTGAAGATGCTACACTGCTGGCTTTGACAATGAAGAAAGAGGCCCTCAGCCAAGGAATGCAGTCAGCTTCTCGATGCTGGAAAAGGTAAAGAATGGATTCTCTCCAAGAGCCTCCAAGAGGAATACAGTCCTGCCGACACCTTGATTTTAGCCCAGTAAGATCTGTGCTGGACTTCTAACCTATAGAAATACAAGATAATGAACCTGTGCTGTTTTAAGCCACTAAGTTTGAGGTAATTTGTTACAGCGGCCATTGAAAACCTGTACAGTCATGGAACAGAATTACAATAGCCTCTTGGTGCCAACCTAGTGGTCTATCACGTACCAATGCACTCCCCACGGAGGTCCAGCTGGAATCCTTTGTTGCACTCACACCGGTAGCTCCCAGGGGTTGGAATGCAGCGTCCATTCTGACAGAGATAGCGGAATAGCTGGCAGTAATCAGTGATGTTGACTGGCAGCACCCCTGAAGGAACATTAAACCCCATTAACATGATTTCTAACTAGGGCATCTTTCAGCAGCACCTAATCTGCTCATCACAGGCAAGATGCTGAATCATCAAGGAAGGAGGACACGCTCCGGGCAAAGGTGGTCTGGTGTCAACAGAGCATTTCCACTCCCGCCTACACAGAGCACCTGGGGGCCACGGCGCAGGCGGCCAGGTCATGCAGCCCGGCTGCAGCCTGCTCCCCAGCCGGCGTCTCCCCACCCCTCTCTCTGCCTCACCCTCAAGCTTCCAGTTTAGGAAAACAACAAAGGCAGTGAGTTGTTGGTATTTAACTACTTGCAAAACTGCTTTGCGCGACATGTAACCCAGAATACAATTTTACACCTCCCCTATCCCGATTCACCCTGTGAACCGGATTGACATCTCTCCTGCAACATCAGTAACAAAAGGATATTAATCTCTGGAGACTATGAAACCACCCATTTTCCTCTGGGCAATAGGCAAATTGAGCAATTCACGTACAACACTAGGCAAACCAAATATTTAACCAAAGAACTGGTAAACTTACTGAATGACTTCAGCATAAACGACAACAGAAAAGTTAACCTGATTAATGCAGGAGAAACAGCCAGATGACTTTTGAATTCTTACTTGGTGGCTCCCGAGATGGATATGGATACTCCACTGGTGGTCGAGGGACTGTAATTTGAGGTCCAGGAGGAAAGCCAGGAGGAACAGGGTGAACTGGAGGAATGGGGCCAAGGGGTGGGGGAGGATATCCCGGTCTCTCGGGAATGACCACAGGAACGGAGCACAGCTTGTTGAAATCCTCTGGAAAAAAAACAAAACAGCTGAGCTGCAGCATATGCAGTAGGCCCATGGAAGTCTTCCTTACTTTTTAAAGAAATCTTTGGATAAAATTGATCCTCGAACCACGTAGGTCAATTGGAGAAAAGGACAAAAGCCAACTGATTTTATCCCCATTCCTAATACAGCAGTAATCAGAGTGGAACAATAATTCAAAATCGAAAACAAACTCCCCAGAGTGTGTACTACACGCCCCTCCTGAACCATAGGAGGTCTTTACCTATGTCAAAATTCATGTCAAGGGAGAATAAAACGCCACTTTCTCCACCCAGTCTCCACCTGTGGATCCCACAGAGCTAAGAGCACACTTTGGTCGGGGGAGGGTGTAGCTCAAGTGGTAGTGGGCATGCTTAGCATGCATGAGGTCCTGGGTTCAATCCCCAGCACCTCCTCTAAAAGTGAAGAAATAAACCTAATTACCTACCCCCAATAATCAAATGTTTTAAAAAAATAAAATAAACAAAGAACACACTTTTTAGTGCTTAGATTTTATTTTATGTGTGATGGGAAGTCACTGGAAGTTTTCAGCAGGGGTGGGACACGATCAGATGAACATTTTCAGGTCATTCTCTCTGGAGTATGGAGAATGTACTAGGCGAGGCAAGGCTGTTGCAGAAGGCCAAGGGCCAGATAACGATGTCTGGATGAGGGAGGCAGCTATGAAACCAGAAAGCAGCAAACACACTTGAAGCATATTTCAGAGACAGATGGGTCGTGCTTGGTGCAGGAGCAAATGTCAGGGCTGAGAGACTGGGAAATCAAGACTGACTTCAAGTTTTCCAGCTGAGCAACTGGCTTTACTGAGATGGGAATATCTGTGACGGGGGTCTGGTGGGTTGAAGCCAAGTTCCATTTTCAACATATGAATTTCGAGAGATCAGAAATCCACATGGAGATGTCATGTAGCAGTTTTATAAGAGTCTGAAGCCTAGAGAACAAGTCAGGGCTGCATATAAGTTATCAGTGGGTAGGTGGTATTTAAAGCTATGAGATGGATGCGCTTGGGTAAGGAAGGTGTGGCCAGCGAAGAGAAGGGAGCAAGGAGACAGAGCCCTGAGGAATACCTATTTGTAAAAGACAACAAAGTGACACAGAAGCAGCAGCCCACGGGCAGAAGGAATACCAGGGGTGGTGAGTCAGTCGTTAACACTGCATAATGATCCCTCAGACTGGTCTACCCTGACTGAGTCGACTGTTTTTCCCTACGACTGCACATACACGGACTCCCACTCTTCACCATGCCAGTCCTTTACTGGAATAAATCATCTGGATGTGTGACACATTTGGGAGGGGCAGCTTCCAAACAGGTGTTTTTAAACAGTATCCAGGTTTCCAGAAATGTATTTACTTTAACCATTTTTAATGTTCCCTACAAATAGCCATATTTGGTCATAAAACTCTTCTATAAGTAAACTATATGATGTTTTAAATATTCTTCCTTCTTGCCAAAATATTGATGACTTTATTAACTCTGTCACACAGGGATTCTCTCATACTTTTCACACTAGCTTCATCCATCAATAGAAATTAGGCTAGTATTTTTGCTTTCCTTGTGGATTAAAATCCACCTTGTTCTAAGACACAGTACTGTGTCTTATCGAAATGCATTTGGATTTCAACCTCATGGGACATTCTGTCCATTTACACTTGGCTAAATATACCCAGCTACCATGTACCGGGTGTTGTTTTCTGGGCCATTACTAAAACTTTTTCAATCACATTTGACATTTCCAACTCATGTTAAGTTTACGTTTTCAGAGAATTCTATTATTGCATTATTCTTTATCTGGAACTTCAACCCACAGAGATTCTATAGTACTTGACTGTGTTTATAAAGGATTTATGTATTGTATATGCGTCCCTGAATCAGGATGCTACAATCCCTCCTGTCAAACCACGGTGATCTTTCTTACACAATTATCATGGGGATGTGCTATCCATCGAGCCCCTTTACATTCAGAGCCAGCAACCTGGGGCTAATTTTGTTCAGCTGATGTCCCACCTCCCCTTGGAGATGATACTTATTTTTTTTAAAAAAGTGAAAGGCTGACCAATCTGAAATAACCCTTCCTGTGTCACCACTCTCCATGAGCTCAGAGCCCAGAGCTCTGCAGGACTGGTACTGGAACACCTAAACAAACATGCCTACCTACAAATTAGTTTGCTCTCTCCACCTGCTCTGCTCAGGGCCTGTTTCAAGGTTGCGCTTCCTTCAGCGGGACCCCCGGGAGGGCAGCTCCCTGCAAAGCCACCTAGGGAAGCCAGGCCTTCTGCTCCATGTGTCCCAAAGTCGGTCCTCAGGCAGCTAAACCTGCTCTAGTCCTCCGGCCTCTATTCAAGGCTCAACACAGGAAGGAATCCATGTCAGTGCTGCTGATTCCTAAGTTAACATATGCATTTAAAAAGCAATTCTCTGGTATCCAAGCTATGTCTTAGTGGAAAGTCACATGCTTCTAAACCGTGACCTACTAAATGGTCCCCTAGTGAACCAAGAAGGGTGTGTTATATTTTTAGCCCATAGACAGTAAGCAAATCAGACAAAATATATGGCTTGTTACGTGTTAAAATATATTGAAAGGTTTTCTTGCTTCTTTCTTTAATCCACACACGTAATTCTCAGTACTAAACAGAATTTTAAAAATAATATCTGTGATAATGGGACATTCATGTTCTGTGACCAGCACACTCAAGCATTTCATTAACACTGCATTCATCCACCCTCACCTTGATTTTCTTTCCAAAAATTTCCTGATTTACACACACTTTTCAGTGTAGCAGCTTGAGAAGGAGACACAAGCCCCATTTTTACTTAGAACTAGTGGGAAAGATGTTACCTGATAAGGTGTGCACGCTACCTGAATGCCTCCCATCAGTAGGTTTTTGCTAAGTACCAGGAGAAGTGTTAAAAAAGCAGAAGGAATACAGCACTATCGTGATGACTGAGATCCCCTAATGAGATTGATCAGGTAGTAAAAGGTAACACATGAACACACACAGGCACACAGCGGAGCGGATGGGATCCGTGTGACAGTAACAGCACAAACCAAGAGTGCTAAGCAAGAAGGCAGCAAGTCCGGCCGTGGTCATCTCAGGACGCACGTGGATTGGGTCAGAGCTAAGTGGCCCCTTAACCAACAAGAGGGTATTTAACATGCAGGCCTGGCAGGGGTGGGGATGAGGGAGTAAGGACCTGAACTCAGGGAAAGTTCTAGGAAAAAAGAACTTTTCAGCTTAGACATGCTCAGCCTGGGTTCAAGGAAAGCTTGATTATATAACTGAATTAGAAAATAAAGCTATTGTGAAAAAACAAGAATTAAAAGATGAACTGGGATCAGAACTGAGGACTCTAAAGACTATGCTCAATAGTAGAATTTTATTTTTAAGAAATGGAGTGACTAGGACCACTGGATACAGTCTGAATTCATCCTGGAAAATTTTTTTCTGGGTATCTTTCTCTACATTTTCCCCAAACACAACTTTTTAAAACTGAACTACAGAAGAGTTATGTGTTGGGAAAGGTATGTGGCAACCGTGGATTTCATAGAGGCCAGTTAGGAGGCTACTGCGACAGTCCAGATGCGAGAAAATGAGCTTTATGTGGAGATGAATGTGACGTGAAAGAGAAATCGGAAAGGAAAAAAAATCAACAGCACTTGGCAACAAAGAAGAGGAAAGTGTCAAACGTTAGAGAAGGAGGAAATGTGTATCCAGAATAACTTACCTGAAAGGCTCTTGAATGAGTCGAGTTTTATTCTACTGAGCTTTTGAGGACTACACGAGTGCCAAAAGAAATACACGAGAATAAGAGGGAACGTGTACTTCCTGACTAGTCAGGCTGCTAGTCAGTGGTAACAGGCAGGCGATGTAACACACAGCACCTGAAAACAGTATTATCTGTATGCACCTCTATAGTTTCCCTGCTGGTTACCTGGGGGAAATTTCCCTGAAGTTGTCTCTTTTATTTTCTGCACTCTTACTCACTTACCCAGGTTTCCACTAAATCTGCCACATGCACATGCCCCTGGGCTTGTCGGGGTTGAGCTGGGATACTCTGCGGATCAGTGGAAGGGCTCTTACCAGTCGCTCTGATGGGACACATCTCGGGGGCGATGGTGACCCCTGGAGACCAGCACCGACCGACGTCGCAGCAGCACTGCATCTTGGTTATGGACTGCGGCAGCTGGTTAGAACAGCGCCCGTTTGCCAGGGCCGTGTAACAGTATCCTGGGCGAACATCTGACAGGACAAAGAAACCGTCACACATGTCACTGAGATCAAGCCTGCAGGGACCGCTCCTGCCCCAGCACCTCCACACTTCCCGCTGGGGCTCAGGCAGGAAGCATGGACCCTCTGCCCTGGAAGGGACACTGTGTGCACCGCCCAGGAACGGTGCGCAGTCAGACATCCCTTTGTCTCACACCTTTGGCCCCTGCCAGCTGGTGCACTTGGCCCGAGTCCCACATTCCATCCCCAAGGTGGGAACGAATGATTACAACCATATGGGCCATAGGGAAAGAGACATGAAGAAAATCACTGGTGGTGACAGTTAGTATAGAGACATGTCTCTATCCTGAAGGGAGACTGTGTTGTCCTTGGTTTCAAACCACTTAATTTGAGCCACTTTAGGTAAATATTGACATAAACCTATTTTAAAACAACATGAAGTCTGCGCTATAGTCTCCATTTCTAAAAGATCTTTCTTATTTTTCAGTCTGAAACTGTGAGTCAGACTCGTGAGTTTTTATTTTTTTAAGGAACGAGCCACTTTGCAGTCAGATCCAATGCTTATGAATCAAGATTTCCTTTTGTCCAAAGGTCCTGATTTGATAAGGCACTAATTATTTACAAGTTCAAAATGTACACAGTGGCAAATTCTCAGTCCTAGAGGATACAATAGTTCTTGAAGTTTTTTGTTTTTTGTTTTTTTTTAGCAGAAAGGTATCTTCTCAAAGAAACAGGGGAAGGCATTTCTATGTATCACTTTCATTGGGTTACATCATGTCTGACTGTCATGACAACATTGACACACTGAAGTGAAACTCTGGGCTACCAGAAAAGAGCCCATGACATAGAAGAAAGCTAACTGCTTCGTGGGCCTCTGAGGTCATGCTGTGGAATAGAAGAGGCAGGTGGCTAAGTGGGAACACCTGGCCTAACTATCGTACATTAGGGGAGTACCTTTCTCCAAGTAAAATTTATCTCTACTGTTCCTACAAAATAAAGTTTTGAAATATAGCTGGTATTTTAAATATGCTCCTCCTTTGAAGGAACATAACTGGGAGATCTTTTTGTAAGGCGAAAAATTTGTTTGTAGTCAAAAATCTGTCTGTGTGTTTCCTGTAAGTCTGCATATTAACCACCACTTGATCAGAGAGGCTCATACCTGTAACTGTTTTCATCTACATTATTCTTCAAAATACAAAGTCTTGAAATCTTGAGGGTTATCATAAATTAATAAAATGAGATAAAATTTAAAAACTAGGCTAACTTAGAAACATTGAAATTATTAATGTCAAGTGAAGACAGCTACAACCGACCTAGACAAACCATAAAAGAAAATTATGGGTCAGCTTGAAAGGATACAAGATGATTTCTGAAAAGTACTTAAAACCACTAGCAAGGATAAACGTCCTTTCCAGAAATTTTTTGTGGTCCCAGTTCCTGCACCTCTGGTCAGACTAACAGTCTCAGCAAAGGGGCAGAACAAGTCTTCCTCCAGCCTGGACCGGGGAAGTGGCTGGAGAGGGGCTGCGGACGAGGGATGCTCCGTGGAGACGGGGGGGGGGGGTCACCTCCCCTGTAAAGGAGAGGGAGAAGCCGGACCTCCTGCCTCCAAGTTCGCACTGCCTCACAGCCACTAATACCTTATGTTCTCCGAGACTAATCTTTCGGGCATGGAAACCAAACGCTGTTGAGAATGGGAAGAGATGTTCAAAACTGGCTTATATCCCAGCTTCAAATGAATCTGGTGGTCAAAACCCAGCATAAACACTTGACCAAAATTTGTATATATAATTTTCCGTGTGGGCTATCTTTCAGAGCAAAACTGGGACCTACAGCTGCCAATAGCAAACTCTTAATGGGCTAATGTCTATTATTTTGCAAATTATCCATGATATTATTTTACTGTCCATCTGGCTGACTTGCACGATAAAGCAATGGGTCAGAGACTCTCGAACAAAATGGTGAATGTGGGGACTGAAAGAATTACGAGGCACGTGTGGGCTGCCAGCCATCCCTGACTTACAAATGGCACCCGCACATATAATAATCATTCTACTAATTTATTTTTTTTTGCAGAAGACCTTTTGTTAAAAATACACACATGTATATATGTAACTTATGAAGGAAACCAATGGGCTAATAAGTAAAGGCAGAGAAAAGTTGTAAAACCAGGGACAATTTAGAGGAAGGGGCGGGCCCCTGGGCACACCAGCCTGCAGTTTTCCATGTCATCGGATGGTGGTGCCAATGGAAGTGGGAAGGAAAGCACTCTGGCGCTGGACCACTTTGCCCAGAGCGCAAGGGGTGGCTTTAAAGGAATCTGAAGTCCTGCGGGAGCTGAGGGGGAGACGGCTAAGATTTGGAGGCGTGGGAAGTAGCAGGGGCCTTAGTCCTCTTCCTCTGTTTTAAATCTGCCCCAACCAAGACATCTGGCAGGAAAGGAGGAGGGGAGTTTCTTCCTTTTGCATCTTTTGAACCACCTGGCCCTTACTCTCGGGACCCCGAAATCACAGTATATCAAAATAAATATACGATGGACTAAAGAAGTGTTTGCAGGTCATCCGAGCCTGTCAGCAGGACTCCCCTGACCGATCACTGCTGTGTCCAACCAGGAGCTCGAAGCTGTGAGGCCCAAACTAGGTACAGGGCATCTTTCAGACCCCCCAGAACTGATGAAACAGAGCACGCTGATATGAAAAGACAACCCTACACAAAGTATGACAAAATGCCAAAGGAAGATGACAGAAGAGAAAAGAAAATGCAATAATACTGCCAGAGCTTATAGGACAAAGGGAGCGTTAGGCCTGGTGGGATCTGAGAGTGGCAGAATGCAGCTACCAGGAGTACCACGGTTAAAAGGGACATATAAGGAAGATGCTACACACCACCATCTACATGTGGGGTTTCCTGTTGCTTAGATTTACTTATTCCAAAGAACCGACTTGCCAACAAACCTTGGATTTGCTTTTAAGTTGGAGACTATATGTATTTTCTTGCCACTAGGGGTAACTTGGGGGGTCACTGTGGTTTTTACCATGGCAGGAAATAGAAGCAGTAAGGAAGGCAGAAATGTCATTCGGATCATTTTATACAAGTTGCTAATTATGGATACAATAATGTTTCAAGGAAGGAGAAACAGTGCTTGCCTGGGGCGATGGCAGGCAAAGGATTACTGCATCCCCTGTTCACTTGGGAGGAAGCGATGGGCGGGGTCCGGGCTGGGGACTCAGCCTAAGTTGGACTCTCAGCTCCCTCGCTTGTTAACTGCTTAAACAGTTGGACCAAATCACTTACCTGAACTTTCTACACCTCGGCTTCTTCCTATCTACAGTCCTGTTTTGAACATCAAGTCAGATCATTTCTCTAAAACACCTCACACCTAAGAGGTGACCTCTGTAAAAAGTCACTGTGGATACATTTGGTAAAAATTTGAAAAATGTAAACTTTCTGATATGTCAATGTGTTTTAATCCTTTTAATGTTGTTTGAGACTCTCTGTGAGGGCCCCCCCCCAAAAAAATCTACCTATTATCTGGCTAGGAAAGGAACTGTGCTAAGCATATCCCTGGAGGTCACGTGCTAATTGGGACAGTCAAGGGAGAAAAAGGAGCTACTTGAATTGCATGTGCCATCCTTTCCCTGCAGTTTTAGTATCTATGGATAGATTCTGGAAAATCAGGTAGTCTGGGCACCACTGACCATTGTTTCTAAGGAAAAGTCCAGATATGCTTCCCTCATGAGTTGTTGTTACTCAAATACGAAGTGTAAGAGGCTGCCCTCAGCTTTTATGACGTGTGACTAAGTAAAAAGGAATTCTGAATTTCAAGTGCCGTTCAGTTTTGGTCTGAAATTCATGGCCTGTGGTGAGGATGTGAAGCGGAGTGTCTTTGAAAATACGGGCCAGACACAAACATCAAAAGATAGTGTTCATTTTTCTCAAGGCCTTTTGCCACAGCTTTCTTCGCTTCGCCTAATAATAATGGATTACTTATTTTGGTATTCAGTAGGTACTGACTGAGCGCCCACTGTATGCAAGGAATTGTGCCGAGAACCACTGGGAATATAAGGATAGCAGTCACTGTTCTTTAAGGAGATCTTACAATGTAATTAGGGAGAAAGAAACACACAGAAACACAAAATTTCCCGATAGGACCACTTATAATAAGGTTCTTTCTCAGGTGTGGGAGGAATTGCTTTTGGGTGAGCTGGTCTGGGACATCGTCAAAGACGGAGAAGCTGAGTGGAAGTGTGAACGGTGCCTTCGGCTGGGAAGGAGAGTGGCCTGATTGGGGCAGCACGTCTGATTAAAGGCACGAACGAATCCCAGTGAATGGCCCATTTGGAGTGAGAAGCAGGGACCGTGCTCCTTCATTACTGGGCTGTCCCTTCTCGAACAGGAACTTTATTCTAGGAGACTGGACTGGGAGGGAAGTCTTAGCAGCCATTACACCAGCAGCTGTCAAATCTATTTTTTTAAACAACAGAACCCCTTATTGAATTGATATTTTACATGGAAGCTTAACACCCACCTGGATCAAAGCCAAATTGCCTGGAGTGTGTGTATGGCGGGGGGTGGGGGTGGGGAGCCTGCTCCGCTCCGTCTCTCCCTTGTCCCTGTTCCCCCTGCCGCCCCCTGCTCCAGCTCTGGCAGCCCTCGAGGGCTTTACAGCAATGGGACAATCCCTGGGACACAGACTGAAAACCACTCATTTCCAAATCCTAATGGAAAACTCCCAGAGGTTTCTGAGCAAGAGACTTAGTTAATCAAAGCACTATTTTAGGGAGATAAATCTGACAAGATGGATTGTAGAGAAGCCAGGAAGCAGGAAGAGCAATGAAGAGATTATTGCAAAATTTTAGACCTAAATTAACATAGGTCCTGGGAAATGACCAAAAGTGGAGGTAAAAAGACAGTCAAAGGTGGCTCCAAGCTTTGACGGTCACATCACTGCCAATTTACAGACTGAGTTTATCTGCAGGGTCTGCTGGGTCATCTCTATTTATGGGAGGCCATCATCCCAAAAGAACACCACAGGTGCCTCTGTTCTTTAAGAAGGTGCTCAACTATTTAACAGATTTCCATAAATGCATGGTTTACCCCAAGTGAGAAACGATGTGTCTCCCTTAACAAACTGTTTAGAATGACGTCCATCATGGAAGTGATTTACAGAGACCATGCGCGCTATTTACAATTGCACGTACCTATGCATCTGGTACCATCAGGAGAGGTATAAAAGCCAGGGGGGCATTTGCAAAAGTAACTGCTGACTGTGTTTGTGCATTCGCCCCCATCACAGATTCCAGGAATAGTGCTGCATTCGTCAATATCTGGAACAAGAAGACCGTCAGTATTTGCAGAACACAGTCTAAAAACTGGTCATCGCTACAAGAATTCAGGTGTAATACTAGTCAAATCATGTCTCCAGAAATAGTGATCTTTACAGAATAAAACGGCATAAAATAGAATCATAAAGCTTATAAAATAGTTGATTCAAAGAGAGGACTGTTTCTTTTCTCAACAAAGGCTTACGCATAGAATGTATACCAAATTCAAAAGATTAGAGAAAGAAATGAAAGAAACTCTGCCTTTAAAATCTAAAACTGTACTTAAAATCATTCAAGTCCCTATGGCGTGCTAATATTCCGAATGTCACTTACTTTAGAATTTGTTTCCCCTTTTCTCTCCATGTTTTGCTTGAATTAAGCTCCCTTTGTATTTACTTCTATATTCTGCATCACTTCCTGCGTTTGTTTTCAATCACATGTTCCACAAAGCAGATCCTGAGATTCCAGAGAGGAGACCATGTGGTCCGAGTGCAGACCAAACCCTGGCCAACTCCGTGTTCTCAGGGGCTCCCAAACGGCCATTATGACGGCTTTCTGTGGGTTCACTGAGTAGACTGTGGGGGACGCCGGGATGCTCCATCCAGAGCCCCCCTCAGGGAGTGACCTGCTGTCCCAGATACGGAAGCGCTGTCAGGAGGGGGTCTCCAGCCCCTTCCAGGGCTGCCTGCGCCGCGGAGCGCCGCCTCACCCGAGGGAACAGCCTTCCCAGGAGGGGTAACGGGCTGGTCATCTCGCCCCAAAGGCGACCACTCTGAAAACCACTCCAACTCCCCAGTTCCCCATGGGGTCAGCGGAGGCCATAGTTGTGGTTAGTCCTCGGGGCCTGAGGCCCCCGGGTCTCCTTAAGGAAGCAACTTTAAGTTGCTTAGGACAAATCTGACCGTTTCCTTCCAGAGAGCTTTTCAAGGGCCGCCATCAGACACTGACAGTTGTCGAGAGATGTGGCACCAGTGAGGGGAGAGAAGAAATTGAGAACTTCCTGCTGAGACTCCAAGTGAACTCAGGGCCCAGGGTAACTGCGTGGCCTCCTCCCTAAGACAAGGGAGGCTTTCTGTCCTGCCGGAGGGAGAGGTACAGTCTGACCCGAGCCTCCCCGGACTGTCGCAGGGGCCAGACTACCACCGTCAGTAGTTTAAAAATAAGAAACTTCCTCCTGCAGATGAAGTACTGCTCTTCACTTGTAAAACAAAACAGAGTTCTTCGTGGACCAGACTCAAATGTCTTCCGACTCAAGTTCACCCTGTTAGTCAAAAAGGTAGCAGTGACACCGTTTCCCTGCAGTTAAACCTTTTAAAAAGCAAAACCCTCATTCTTCTCTGCCAGGCTGGAGGCTAAACCAAACAGTATGTCACTGCTTGTGTTAGAGTCAGTCCTAACACAGACAGACCGTCCTGTGAAGCTGCATGAGGGGAAAGGTGCATCTTCTACTCCGACAGACAGAAACGTCACTGTGGACTCAGGGAAAGTCAGGCAGAGAGACAGAGCCTCGGCTTCTAGAACTGATGTAACCCTCATCTTAACCGTAATCTCAAGGCTCATTTTAAGGCAGTTCTTTAACATAAATCCTTCTGTATTTACCAGCCATACTCCTCCTTAAAAGCCACAGAAAGCCAAACCAGTGTATCAAGGAGCCTAGAGGATCCAACGACCTCATTTAAGGACAGAGGAAGTTGTACCTGCAACACAAAGGTATTCAGATGAATGCACCTGTCTCAAAGTGTCCCTAAAGCGGGATGTCTGAGTCACATAACACTTAACCAAAAGTCACATGAGCACATCCAGTCTCTTAGAAGAAATATTTTCCTACTTGTTCATATAAATGATCACTGTCATCCTTATTAAGGCGACTTAACTATGGCAGTATCCAGAGAGGTGATTTAAGTGACAGCATGTATCAGGAAAAAAGTTACTGAAAAACAAGGATTAACTTCGGCAGGGGGAAGGAGACATCTCTCACACGCTGGCTGCGTTCGGTTTGAAGCCTTTACTGAAGAGAATGACAATGCTACCAAGAGTGGCTGTGCACTGGGCACCAGGCACTGTCTAAATGCTGAGTGAGTCCAGTCCTGCAATGCTCACACTATTCCAATGATCACAGGGCCTGATCTCTATAATTCCGGTGCCTAGGCACGGCTCTTGCATTCCACTGAGGCCTTCGGGAAGCTGGCGTGAGTCATACCCACAATTAGAGCAAAAACATTCGTGTGTAAAGTGATGTTAAGCCCAAGTCTTCAACTGGCAGGGGTCAGGCTGGGCGGGAGGTAGGGCGTCCACTCAGGGGCAGGTCAGCAGGTCAGGAAACACACTGGAGCGGGCACCTCCCTAATTTTCACACAGATAAAGCTGAAAGTACCAGGCCAAACAGTTCACTTTGAAGGTGCTTAAATGACTCTGGATTCTCTTCAGTGTCCTCTCCTCAGTGACACACCTTTTTCATGTGTCTAGGGCTTCCTACCTTCCTGAACCACCTCGCTCCCCAGCCCCATCACTTCCTGGCAATGGAAGCCAGCTCTGACTTCATGGCCAGGCTGCGGTGGAAGTCCCTGACAGTAAAAAGTCTAGAAGAAAGCCTCTGAATCAAAAGCACTTAGGTTCTGAAACTCATTCAGACGAATTTAATAATTTTCCAGGCTCTTAGCACACTATGTTTATCTTCTTTGAAGAGAATTTCAGGGGGTCCCGTGGAGGAGAGAATTTGAAATCTGTGGATTTCTCAGCGTTTCTGTAAGTCAGTCTGTACCAAATGCCAGCCGTAAAAGTAAATCCGTTTGAGGGGCCTGGAGGGGAGTAGAACTTGGCTGGGAAGAGCGACTTCTGTGCTCTGAACACTTCCCCTGTTTCCCCAGGGCAGCTACTGGGAGGAGCTCTGCCCGTGAACCCAAGAAGAGACGCAAACGGTAGGTCCCTTCCCTCCTGATTGGCTTCCCCGTCCTTTGTTCTTCTTCTTCTCATTCCTCTGTCTCATCTGCTCTCCCCAAGCTTCTTCCCCTCTCTCGGCCTCTTCCCCATCCTGAGGCTCCACTAGCAGGAGGGGAGGAAGGAATGTGGAGGGCAGATGGGATGGAGCGGGGTCCCAGTCCTAGCACAGGCATTCCTGGGACATACAGCTGACCAGGAGTTCCATCCAAGACCATGGACATCTACCAGGATGGCAAGATGGGGAACCCACTAACCGGACTGTCTAGATCCTGACTCTCTAGATTACTAGCAAAGTGAGAGGAAAAAATACACTAGAAATCGTGGCAGCTGTTAAAAGCAACATGTGACACTAATTATTATGCATGCCACTGAGCCTGTGAGATTATGATGATTGTTTTATTAGACTCCTGAAATCCAGTGAAAAATACGTGACTAAAAAAGCAAGCAAGCTGATTCTTCAAGTCATGTCGACAAAACCATCAGCCATACTAGTTTACAGTCACACTGTGCATGCAGCTTGCGTGGTTTCTCACTCAGGCAGCACCAGCTGTGTCTGATCACAGTTGAGAAACAGAAATACGAAGGTGGAGGCCTGCTTGCAGAACTGGACAGGACCCCCAGATATCATCTGGTTCAACACCCTCATTTGAAAGGTGAAGTAACTCAGGGCCGGGACTTGTCCAAGATCACACAGACGATGAGGGACACTGCCAGGACCAGGGCCGGGTCTGCCTTATTCCCAGGGCTCTCGTGCCTACTCCACAGGGATTTTGCTCAGCAACTGGTGACCCTGAACAGGGGGCTGGGACCTGCAACAGCTGCAGAGGATGCAGCCCCACCTGTAGCAATGGGTTAAGTAGCCCCAGGAATTCTCCTTGGTGCCTCAGGATAAAAGCCCTTGACAGCAAGTAGCCAGCAGATAAAAATACCACTATTTCAGTAAGGGGAAGTCGTAAGGCTTTTGGCTCACATATTAGGGAGCGCATGGACTTAAGAGCTACATTTTTTAAAAGTCCTTCGCATTGCGCTGGGCTATTACAATTGCTACAGGCTGGGCTGGCGATAATCTAAATCCCAAAATATTAGTGGTTAATTAGGAATCCAAGGGACTTCTTCCAGAAATAAAACTTAATCCTTTAATTACACTTTTTATTTCTTAATTTCCTCCCACAGTAACCTATGCAAATATGGACCTGGTTTCCAAAAAGAAAAGGCTCATGTGTTCTTTCAACGTGCACACTCCAGGGTCACTGGAAAAATCAACAACAAAGATGGGTATGAACTCTGTTTCCCTTGTTCTCAAATTGCAGCTATAAATCTCAACCTCTTCCTTCTTAAATTTATGAAAATTTAATAATTCTCATTTAATCACCTCAGCTTGTTAATTTATATTTCAAAGGTATCTACACTGTATGTGTGGAGATAAAACTTGGCCCACAACTTTTTAAAAGAGTTTTGGGAAAAGGGGATATTTTAAGAAGGAAGAATTCTGCCAAAGGAGGATCTCACACAAAGCAGCTTTCACCATCACTGAAGGAGTGAAGGTTAGCGTCTTGTATATTAGCCAAAACCAATTTTTATTGAGTTTTTAAAAATTTCTAGTGAGGAGGGGATAGCTCAGCGGTAGAGAGCATGATTAGCATGCACGAAGCCCTGGGGTTAATCCCCATATCGCCATTAAAATAAATAAGTAAATAAACCTAATTTCCTTCCCCCCCAAAAAACAAAAACAAATTCCTGTGGGCTTCCAGGCACCTAGTCTTCCTCTCTAAGTCAAGAGGAAGACACATTTAAAAAGCCACGGAAAGTAATGGCGAAGCGGCCAGGACAATTTTCCCAAGGGCCCAGAACCCCCAAGATGGCCTGTCCATCTTCCTAGGGCACATGGATGGGCTCTTGATCTTTCCTGTGGTAGGGCCAGGTTTTCTGGAATTCCTTCTGTTGACCACCTGGAGATCACCTAACAGCCAGAGTCACGCCATCCCGTGGTGAGGTGCTGCAGCTGGGGAACAGCCAGGAGTCAAAGGAGAGGACTCAGCTCACCACGCCTTCTCAGAGGACATTCGACTCCTTTGCTACCCGAGTAAGACAGGGTAACAATTCCCAACCAGTCTGCAGGCCAGAGTACACGTAGTACTCACGGGATCTTCTCTTCCAATATCAATTTTGCATAGGAAAATAAAAAGGAAGGGGGCAAAAACCATCATCTGAATTTAATGTAACAGTAGATGGCAAAGGAAAAAAAAAAAGGTCTAGCCAAAAGTATTCTGTTTTTATCTTGCCACTGACTTTACTATGTAGCCAGAAAAAAATTTTGTGTGTTAAAAAGGATTAAGTAATTTTTAGACTGAAGTTTTGGTCCATGGGATAGTCCACCATAATAGGTTTCTCAGCGTTAATAAAAGGATTTTGAATCACTTTTCTTTCAGTCTGAGTATTAAATCTGTGCATCTTCTCTCTAGCTCACAACGAGAGGTGATCAATCCTGACTAATGTTAACTGACTGACCTGAGTGAAAGCAAAGGGCACAGGAGAATAATTCTAATTTAAACTGGAAGCCATCATAATTCCAAAAAACAAAACAGAGACTGTACAAGTCACATGAAGCATACTGCCCTAAATCTTGACGCTGACTGTATTTCTCGGAGCTGAATATATGAAGCTGAGAAAACCTAAAAATGTAACACACGACCCACATGGATGTGGATTTTGCGTGCAATAGACCTTCAGCTTCTTACTGTCATAAAAGATATGTCATAAAAGATGATACCTGAAAATCTATGCCATAATATTTAAATATTTCAAAATATTAGGAAGTAGAGTTATTAAAGTAGAGGTAATGGCTCACATCCAGGGAAAAAGACAATATAATGTGGTATAGAGAGCACCAGAGTATGAGTTAAATAAAGTAGATTTAAAAAATTTTAGCACTATATGATGACCTCAGTCAGGGCGCATAACATACCCAAGACAGTGCCCTCATTTATAACGTAGAAGGGTGACACCAGGTAAGTGCTTTGCCCCTTTCAATATCAACAGTCCCTACTTCTAACTTAATCCACAATATCACATCTAAAATACACCAGTCTAGAGAGAGTCAACTTTCTTGTTCTTTGAAACCTACAACGTTTCCAAGAAGCCTGATTTCCTTAGAAAGAGCTTCCTCAACTCAGCACAGCTATTACATGTTCAAGAACATATCATTATAAGTTATCCAATGATTAATAACTTCAAGCCAACTCCCACCCATAAAGATAATTTTATCGGAGTTAAATTGTTCCGTTTCAGGGCAAGTAGATGTTAAACTTCTTGAATGCCACGTATGAATTGCTCCCTTATATGTAAAGCCACCTTTTGCACGTATGACATACCTCGGCGATCGACAAAGAAAGATTAACGAGCCAGACACAGACAAATGGCTTAGGATGACGCGCTCCTCACTGCTAGGGTTTAGGAGGACAGAGAGGACGGCACCTGCTTTCAGCAAAAGTGCCTGAGTCTCAGCGGAACCGCACACCCAAGTACAGCAAGTTGAGAACAAAGGAAGAGGTTTTCTCCGCTCAGCTTGGTGAGAGATGTTGCCCTAAGGACGCTGCTACATTATTGTCAGACGTTACATATATAAGCTACATGAACCCACCAAAGAAAAGAGTTCAACGCTGCCTACATATTTCCTGGATGTTTCCTTCTCAAGAAAAAAAAATATTTATTACACTTGGAAGCCAGGCCTCCTTTTGGCAAATAGCAGTTGTGGTGAATATGAACACATTCTCTGCACACACATTTTCAGAAGCTCAGTCTACAAACTCAATGCAAATATATAAATTGACCTCAAGTCAGTTTTCTGTTTGATTAACATTAAAAGGTTTCCATTTGATAGGCAGAAAAGAAAATCCTAAACTTGTACTGGGAGCATAAATATGAGTTAATAGATCTCTCCAAAGGAAAAAAAAATCAAACATACATTTTAACTAGAAAAACATGAGAAGATATGTCATTCTGAATGATATGTAATGATCAAATTTAAATTCATGTCTCTAGAACTATGCAAAAACATGTGTCTTGAACATTTTAACCCAAATATTGGTTCAAAAATATTTCATGTTTTAATATTTAATTTGATTCAGATGGATCTCTTATTTTGGGTCTATAAAAGTGGAAAAAGCTGCAGGCTTTTTCTGGTTCAATAGCACAAAGGCATATTATTCCTGGTAAGAATATTATATTTACACATTCATGGGAATGACAAAGACAGAAGGATTTAGGAACAATTTGCAAAAAAGCTTGTCACTGATTGGGGTTTTGCCTGCCCCCTCCACCTCTTAACTATAAAGCATGATATTTCTTACCTTCACATTTTTGTGTCACTTCATTAAATTTGTGTCCAGCAGGGCATTTGCACTCAAAAGACCCAACAGTATTAATGCAATTTCCTCCTTGACAGAGCCCAGGGATGGCCTGGCATTCATCCACATCTGTCAGATTTTAGAAGTGAGAGAGAGAGAGAGAGAGAGGAGGAGAGAGAGGAGAGAGGGAGGGAGAGAAATTTATATAAAATTCATTGCAGAAGAAAATGTGATAGTTTGTCCACAATTATATGACCACGTTTATATCAATGAGTTCTTCGTCCATAACCGTACTTGGAACATGATGAGAGAAACTGTTTCTCACAATTACATTATGCAGAATAACTTATTTGAGTCACGTAACTTGGTCAGTAGTGTTCTGCTGGAAGTCACAAGTATCCTTTATTTACCCCTTTCCATCCTCCCTCACGCAGAGGAGAATGTTGGTACTGACTTCTGTGAGTTTTATTATGCATGCTACAGAGCACGAGGATCCTGTGATTAAGAGTAACAGTAGTAACTACAGGTATTCAAGAAGTTCTCAGAGTCAAAATGCAACACATTTCTATAATAACATTGCCTTCAAGAGTGGTAACGAGTGATTCAGTTCAAACAGAATTTACTTGAATGAGATCACTCAGACTACACGAGACAGCTAATGTTTTTATACAAATGAAATGGAAAATGTTCACCCTTCTGGAGAATTGTCTCGCACAATAAAAATGAAACCACCCAGGAAATTAGGCCAAGACGTGAGAGCAGAGCAGCCACCAGAGGGAATCTTTTGAAAGGTAAGTCGGATCATGTCCTATCTCAGCTTAACACTCAAGTCCATGCTAAGTTCTAGAAGATTCTACCTGACCCCTTTACTCTCTGACCTCATCTCGTAACCTCCCCCTGCCCTCACTCCTCTCCATCCACACTGGCTTCCTTGCCATTCCTCAAATGCAGCCAAGTTGCCCTGCTCGGGGCTTTGTAGTGGTGGCCCCCCTGCCTGGACCACTCTTCCTTTGTAGGGCCGCCTGGTTCTCACTGCCCCACTCGCTGCAGCAGGGACTCCCCCCACCAGTCTAACAGCAACACCCACCTCACCCCCGTCACTCATCACCTTACTTACTCTGCCGGTCCTTCCCTACAGGACAAAAGACCAGCGGACCTAGTAAATATCTGTTAGCTTCGTTGTGTTCTATAAATTGAACGTTTTCAATACAAGCTGCTAGAGAGAGGGTTCTTTGTTCACTGCTGAATCTCCAGCACCTAACGAATAACTGTGGTCCTACACGGAACCCCAAATCTTAACCTTCCAGGAACAAAAGTAATCATCACATGTAAATTGGTGCACCCACTATGGAAAACAGTAAGGAGGTTCCTTAAAGAAACTAAACATAGAGTTGCCATATGATCCAGCAATCCCACTCCTGGGCATATATCCAGAGGGAACTCTAATTCGAAAAGACACATGCACCCCAATGTTCACAGAAGTACTGCAGACAATAGGAAGTAACCTAAATGTCCAGATGACTGGATAAAAAAGTTGTGGTATATTTATACAATGGAATACTAGTCAGTCATAAAAAGGAATAAAATAATGCCATTTGCAGCAACATGGATGGACCTAGAGATGATCATACAAAGTGAAGTAAGTCAGAAAGAGAAAGATAAATACCACAGGACACCATTTATTTGTGGACTCTAAAACATGACACAAATGAACTTATTCACAAAATAGAAACAGACTCACAAACATAGAAAACAAACATGATTGCCAAAAAGGAAAGGGAGTGGGGGAGGGATAAATTAGGAGTTTGGGATTTACAGACACACACTACTATATATAAAATAGGTAAATAGCAAGGACCTACTGTATAGCTAAAGGAGCTACACTCAATATCCTGTAATAAACCATAATGGAAAAGAATATGAAAAAGAATATGTATATATGTGTGTAACTGAATCATTTTGCTGAATACTAGAAACTAACACAATGTTGTAAATCAACTATACTTCAGTTTTTTAAAAAAGTCATTGTTCCAGGCGCATCAGAAAGATTTTTCTAAAAGTACATGTATGCGCTCCCCATCTCTTCATCTATAACACACCAAACTCTGGTTTAATGAGAAACCCCAGGGAGGCAGTCTAACTTTTCTTCCTCTGGGTATTTTTAAAAAATACTTATTTCTGGACACGTAGTGTACCCCCTTAGTCTTACTCTTCCTTGAGTAAAGTGAGAGAGCAACTGCCAATTATAAGATCTCTAATAATCTGCGGTTTTGAAACAAGTTGCCATGCAGGAAAAGGGGTACTCACGGAACGACAATTTATCTTAGTATAAAAGTGTCACTATTTTAAATGGAATGTCCTGGTGCAAAACTGAATGATTATATGTGAGTATAATCAGATTATGTTTTATAGCTGATCTCGATTTTGTCTTAAACCAGAATTTTCCATTCTTGATATAATGAGTATGTTTATTAAAATGTTAACTGAAATTAAAATTGGACATATAAGCAAAACTTGATAGTCTTGTTGATCACGATTTTTGGCCAAGAGGAAACATACATGAGGACACTTCTCCGCTGGCCACACATCCCAAGACTGAAGCCAGAATAAGCTGCTTTCTGAACCCACTGCCCACAGCTCCTCATATCTGGCCTAAGGAGGAAAAACACCAGCAAGGAGACAGTGCCCCAAGCTGATAACAGACTCTCTCTGACAAAAGGCCAATCAAACATGAAGAAATTCATTCTCAAAGTGGCAATGTAACTGTCATTTCAGTTCCGTGGGTTTTCATAGATTCTCTTAAAAAAAAACCTTTTTTTTTTTTCCCTTTTGGATGCTGAATAGCAGAGTCAGGAAGGAGCAGAAAGAAAATGCTGGAAAGGTCCAGACTGTATGAAATGAAAATCAGAGTGAAAGAGATGCCGCTCTCCCCTCTTCCTCTTCACTCTCTTCCCCCCAGTTCTCTTAGCACTGAGACCTCTGACCCTGACTCACCAACGGGCAGCGGGGCACTCAGAGTCTGGCTTTCTGGTCACCGTCCATGAGTTCATGGGTATTAGCTGACTTCAGATCACTAAGACCGAGTATTTTTTCAAAATGCCTGAGATTTTCTCAGGAGGAGAAAAATAAGAGGGCACCAAAGGAAAGGGAAACAAAATGTGCTCTTTATTTTATGAAACTGTACAGTATACCTCTTTGTAATTCTAGGGTTTCCAAGTGACTTCTTGCTGCTCCTGACATTCAGAAGGGTACATTCAAGATCACATGAAGATGCTGTATGTTGTGCACAGAGGCCAGGGACCAGCATCAACAGTGCTTACCAGAAGTGGAATTTATTGAAGCACAATTTAGCGGAGACTCACAGAACTGTGTGATTAAGCTCAAGTTCTGTTTTATTGTATCTGATAATATTTACATTATCCTCAGAATTAACATACAGAACAAAAGCGAACTGGTATCTCTCTGCCTCAGAAAAGCATACCCCGAATTTTCTGACTATGTGGCAACTTGCTAAAAAAGCACTGAAGATGTCTAAAGGAAACAGATACAGCCTGGGAGTTTTCAGTCCCATCAGTTTAGTGCGGAGCTGCCTCTGTTCACTTCCTCCAGTTTCCTGCCAGACATCCAGACAATAAAAGAATTTGTACAGCTGGAAGAACAGGAGTAAAAGCCAAAAACAGAGTGAGTGCTTCTACGGGACGCAGCAGAAGAAGCAAGCAGGAGACATCTGGGGATATTTAAAACTGTGAAAGAAATCCTAATTTATTTTTGACTCGTTAAAAAAAAAAGCATAATGCAGCATATAAAATGGAGAGAGGAACAATTTTCTTCAGGTCAACTAAGTACAACCCATGAGAGAGAGGAACACCAACAATTTCAAATGAAGGCAAAAACAAAAAAAAATTAAGAAAAACAAACCACCTTGCTCACAAATTTTGCTTTGCATTTACACACAGCATGGCTGCGACACACAGCCATGCTGTAAACAGAATCATCCCACCTCCTGGAAACACTCCTGGGGTCAGAGAGGGGACTGCTGGCAGGGAGAAATCCAGGGGGACCAGCTGCTCTCTCTTAAGCCGCACTCCTAAAGCCTAAGCTGGACATCATGCCGTCAGCGAGATCGTGAGGTTATGCCACTGACGCTGCTTTTCCATCCTCTCCAGCTTCACTGGAGAATGGCTCTCCAGAGCAAATAAGAAGAATCCATTCATAACTCCATCAGCCCGGGGCTTACCTTGACAAGCTCCTGTGCGGACATTTGGGATGAAGCCGCGGCGACAGGGGTGGGGCTGGGCCGGGCACATCTCACAGGGGTGGCCCCAGGCGCGGCCGACAGTGGCACAGCACAGCGTCTTTGTGCAGACGATCCCGCTGAGCTGTCCCTGGCACATCTGGTTGCTGATCACAGTAAAACACGGACCTGTCCTGTAATCTGAAAAATCAAGAAGGAGAACTCCGTGAAAGTCCAGAACAGCGGGAACCATCACGCAGAGGAATGATGTACTGTGCCATCTTGCTGGACTCCAAATTGGGAAATGGTCTCCAGGATGAGACCCACACATCTCTGACTCCGGGTGAAGCCACGGGCAGACCATTCCACCTCTGAACCCCACTGACCTCGCCTTCAAAATGAGGATCAAAACACCAGTTTCTAAGCTCCTATCCACTTTGGAGACGCTGTTGTGAGGATCAGATGAGCTAACGGAAAATACTTTACAACTGTGACATGCCGTCCAAGTGCAACGTAATAATACAATTTACACATTCATTCACTTAAGAAAATATATCAGCGACTATTATGAATCAGCCTCTATGCCTCATATAGATGCTTCAGTGATTAAAAGAGATCAAACCCCTGCCCTCACACAGGTTACAGTCTATCACTACTTAGGTTGGAGAAAGCAAAGAATTTCAAAACTTACAATGAGGCAAGTCATGGAACCTTCTTCCCCGGAGTTTCTTGAAAAAAGGAAATGATTACCTGCTTCTTTTGGATTGGATCCATCTTATTTCAAATACACACACACACACACACACATACACACACACACACACACACCAAGCAAACAAAAAAGCCCATTCAAAACAAAACAAAAACAACAACAAAATGTTAGCTATGCAAAAGACATCAGGTATTTACTCTAAAGAGTGAGGGCCCTGATCTGAAATCATTGTAACCTTGGGCAAAAGGATCATCTTAAAGCAAACGTGGCTCAGCTAAGGCCACAGGAGAAGTTGCATTTCGAAGCAGTCTCACCAGATACAAAATCTGTCTCTTTTTTTCTTCTTCTAAAGAGACAAAGTCAATCTGGATTCAACAGCCAGCAGACATGAAAGATTAAGACGTAATGAGCACAGAGAACCAAAGTCAGGCTGTCCCCAGCTCCCTGTGAGAGAACTCAGGGCCACGAAAACCCTTTCTGTTCTGCAGTGGCCTTGACAGATGGGGTGGGGGGGGGGGCAGCTGGCCCTGGCAAGACTCCTGGGCTCCCACCCACTACCAGCCCTGCAAGCTTCCTCGTGTCATTTTCGGAAGTGCACAGGGTGCTTCCTATGAGCCAAGGGATGGACTAAAGGACCCCAGTAAGTTCCTTTCACCACTGAATTCCACAGGTCTGTGAAGATCACTGGGTGTGCCCAATTTTCATTTTTATGTTCTTTCTTTAAGTAGCTCATGGGACATGATACGCAATTTACTGAGGACAATTCTTTATTACAGTCCTAACAGGAGTGAACAGGCTGAACCAAGACGACACTGGGGCAAGAGCTGAACCTCACCAGCTGGTGGCCCTCCACCCCGTGTGTGTGCCTCTCCGTTCTCTCTGTTGCAGTTGTGACCCCAACTGCTCCCCATCACTAAATGACCTTCCTTACTCTCCCTTCTATTTATTTATTTTTTTTGCATTCTTTTTTATTGAAGTATAGTCAGTTTTCAATGTAGCATCAATTTCTGGTTCCCTTCTGTCTTGCTGGAATGAGCCACCGTGCTCAATGGCACTGCCCTAAGGCCCATGCTGGAAGACGAGCCGTCTAAGGAATTCCCGACACAAAACTTCACCCAGTCAAGTGCAGCGAGAGGACTAGGCCCAAACTAGGGCAGCGCTTGAGAGATGGACAGGACACCCAAAACGTCAAGTCCCCATCGCCACCCTCCCTCTCTCGACACCAGGGCTTACCAAAGAGTGTTACGTACATCACTGATGTGATGCAAGAGGATTTTAGACTGTCATGCTTTAATAGTCACATATTAATTTTAATTTGTATTATTAAAAAGTATAAACATACCAGACTCCTGATTTCACAAATATGTTTGCTATGAGAATGAATTTTAAAAAAACTCTGAATTCAATTTAAAGAAAAATATTAATATATAAAATAGATTAAAAAAACAAATTTCTTCTGTATAGCACAGGGAACTATATTCAATATGTTGTAGTAATGTGCAATGAAAATGAATGTATGTTTATAAATGTACGACTGAAACATTATACTGTACACCAGAAACTGACACACTTAACTGACTGTACTTCAATTAAAAAAAAAAGAAAAACATTAAATACTAAGTATGGGATATGCAAACAGGCCAGAAATTGTGTAGGTGGTACATAAACACTACCAGTGTGATCTCTTCAGAAAACTAACCTTGACTTTGCTCCCCTGAAATCTCTACCTGTGCCGGCCCTGCCCACCTTTGCAGCCCTATCTCCAACACTTCCTCAGTTTACGATTGTCTTTTTACTTTGTTTCTGCATCTTTTTTAACCCTGCTGATTAGTTTTTACTTTCATATAGTCAAATTCTAAGTATATTTCAATATCCTTCATAATATGCCAAGTCTATTCAAAATCTGCTGTTGTCTTCCACAGACACTGAATTCAAACAAGAATACAAAAATTAAATGCTTGAGCTGTTGAATAAAATCTCTGCCTTCATTTCATTCTGTGAGTAAAGAAAAAGTCAGTCAGCACCATGGCAGTGTGCACCAAAATCGCTCCTAAACACAGTAACTACATATGGACACAGTCTAGGGCCAAAGTCATTGCTCTTTCTTTGGCTCCATTCTTCCACAAAGCACTTATAGGCATTTAATAAATACTTCTCTGATATATGGTGTTTCTTTGATATTTTCGTATTTGATGTATTTCTCTGATTTGAAAACAAAAAATTAATTCAGACAATTAGGAAAAGGGCAGTAACGTATAAGAAAATGAGTATCACATGGAATTGCACCTAAAGAAAACTTTGATAACGTATCAGTCTATTATCTCACATAATTTTACGTGTGTTTTATTTTTGATCACAAAATAGGAATCAGTAATACTAAATATACAATTTTGAATCCTGCTGTTTCTTCACTTAACATCGCCAAACGCATCTTCCCATGTAAACACTACTCCAAAATATGACTTTCATTAATGTATAATTTTCCATCAAGTTATAACATAATTTATTCAATAATTTCCTTACTGGGTATCATTTAAATTGCTTCCAACTCCTCATTATTACATTCAACATCCAGTGTACATTACTGATGAATTCTTTAAGGATGAAAAATGTTTAACCCTATGCCGCAGCCATCAAGATTTTTATGACTATATATACCTCATAGTTGAGAGTAGAAAGATCACAGCAACATAACCTTTTACTTAAAAAATAAATAAAACCGTCCATGTTAGCTAACGAGGAAAGAAATTTAGGCTTATTTCCTATTTTCCTCTTAACTTACTGAGACGAACGCAAATACTTTCATCAAACAGATTCATGTCGTCAGGCCATTTTGCTATCTTTAGAAGACATAATGGAGCGAGAGTTTTAATTCTGCGTTCTCTCTTCAGCACTGCTTGGGTCTGTCTTCCCTCTTGGAAAGGTACTCTATGGAATTATACATGAGGACTGCAAAGATTCAGGGTAGATACAAATACGGTGTTTCGTGAGTGACACCAGCAAAATCAAGGCACACGAGCAAATGCTAGGAAAATCTGAGTCAGTCCTATCTAAGACTGGCTCATGACTTCAGGCATGAATTCCTTACTGGAAGGTTTTCATCAAAAGAAAAATAACCCTTACGACTTCTCCAGGGTCAATAACTCTTTGCCCTCATTTCAATATGAAACACATGGAAGAGAAACAGCACTTGCTAATTCTGACAATACTCATTAGGCATCTCTCGAGCCCATAGGGATCCATCTTTATTAAATATACTAAAAATCTGGCAGACAGTTTGAGTATGTATAACCGGGTCCATGGACTTAACACATTTCCACGCTAGATCCTTATCATTACGGACAAAGAAAAGAGCCGGCTCATTTGACGGTGAGGCTTGGTCAGTGGACGTAAGTGTGTTTGTAGAGCCGTATTTTCAACAAAAATGGCTGATTGCAGAGGGAGAGGCATAATCTGGATGAAACAGAATTGGATCTAAAAATCATTCTTTTGGAAGGTAAATGCTGTATTAACGTGGTTTTCAAATGTCATTCTGATTTGGCAGCATGTGCTTTTTGTCCTGTGCTTCATTTAGATTGCCAAAGTTATGCTGATTTTAGTCCAATACTCCAACCACAGAAAAAATCTGCCCATGCTCCCAATTCCTTACTAATAATCCAATTATTTACAATTATTCCCATAGCACTTACGTGATACTAGGCTAAATTTACATACTTTTTTTTTTCAGAGAGTCCCAACTCTAGACAGAGAATGTGCCTAATTCAATACTTGGATAATGTCTGACTCATTCTCTCGACGTAAATCATTATTCCTAATGCAAATAAAATATAGCATTAAAAATACTTTCTGTTCGCAAATTGCTGGACAGTCACTTCCTTATAAGACCTCCATGAACTAGGGCAATAGGCCAAGACTTTCTAAAATTAAAATGCAATTTTAATTGTTTTTAACTGGCTTACTCTAGTGTGGCGAGTTCATGGGAAATTCTGCGTCCACATGTTCCCATTATGAGTGGTTAGGCTCAGGGATTGCTCCTCAGTCCCAACAGATTTGGCCCCAAGGCTTGGGATCTGACCAACATACGTCTGCCTCCTCTGACCCTCAGCTCCTCCTCAGCTCTGCAGCTCAGAACGCTGGGACCTACGGTGTTATTTGACTTTCGTTTGTAATCAGACTTCACCCTGAAGCAAATGTATCATTCACAGAAAAAGAATACTCTGTGGTACAATGAAGTCCTGTCACTCCCGCCCAGTCACTAAACCACACACTGCAGGGAACGCACAAGGATATAATTTGGGGCACTAGGCTCCAATTATTTTAAATCCATCTTTTCATAAAAATTTCAAACAAAAGAATGAGGTATCAATTTATCCATGAGAGAGGGGGTCACCGCATGCTTCTTCCTTCCAGGTTGTTTGGCCTGGGACACAGTCAGCTACTAACGTGTGGAATTTCAATACAATCTTCTGAGGAAGGAGTTCAGAGAACT